GCTTTGGGAAGCATTTTATTGCTTGTTGTGGTTCTGAGGGAAGGCAGTCAAAGTGGAAATCAATGACGGAGTACTTCGGTGGTTTTCACACAAGTGGTTTTCCTCCAATATATATTTCTGTGGACGTATTGTAATCGTCCGTTCATCCATATGAAACCTAACAGTCGGATTCAAGGCCTCTTAAAAGGCGACTACCAAAGCAGGGAAATGGTGGTTGGCTTTACCAGATGTTGACGAGGAAAGGATGCTCCAGGTTCTGCATGATCTGAAGCTCTTTCAGGACGTTCCTCACTTCGTTCCGCTCCACGCATTTCAACTTGTTCATGTACTTCATGGCGTACATTTTCTTCGTGTCCTTCTTCTGCACGATGCAAACCTGAGAAGAGCACAACTCTTTCAGTGCAAAATACTTTCAATCATTCCCATTGTTGTCGTTAAACGCTCCGATAATTGAAAATGGGATACTTGAGCTTCAACGGGATTGATCGATCTGAACCGTTACCTTGACGAAGCAACGTGAACCGTATTGACGAAACAGCAGATTTGCGATATTGTTCTTCATCACACTTGCTTCATGATGTCAAACTAAATTCAAGGGGAACCTGGACTTGGATTGGATAGCCTTTCAAGAAATGACACATCGTGGTGCCTACCGTCTTTTGACGGGGAGACTATAGCTGCTGCACCGAGACGTGCGTCTGTGCTACAAGCGTCAATAAGCTAGTGATTACTGCTATCTGTTATCTAAGAGAGTCTTTTGTGGAGCAGCTGGCGCAGTTAATCAGCCAGACCCTGATCACATCACTCCCCCCATTGAGCAGCTTTGCATTTACCGTGATTAGACTGCTTATCTGCCGTCAGACAGAATGTTGATGCTGTGTACAGTTGGCCTCCACGCGCATTGTTATAAGTCATCGCACATGCTGGAAAAAGCGGATGGGAATAATTACCCTGTACAATCCTGCTCCTATCGGCGCGACCGTCTCAACGAAACGGGGTGCTTTCTCGACTGACCTCCACACTGAAATGTCCTTGAAGTCTTAATACCCTTTCGAACAGAATTTACAGGAAATTTTAAGTGATCTGGTCGTTCAGCACAAGAATATTTGTTTTTTCTTTAGTTTTTGGCTGTTTTTTTTTTTTTGTGTGGTTAAGTCTTGTTTGTTTGGTCCCAATCCCATAGCCCATTCCTTCACTTGTTGACAGCGGTGAAGTTCTTATTACACTTGCATGCTGATTGAGAATGTTAAAATGTCAGTTTGCTGTCAATAAAACATGCCAAAAAAAATAGGCTCACCTTTCCAAAGCTTCCTTTTCCTATTGCTCTGAGGATCTGGAAATGGTCAAAATTGACTGTGAAAAGAAAAAAAAAACAGAATGGAGTTAATTTAATGAAATGTGTTTTTAACGTGTTTTTTTTTTTTTTTAACTGCCCAGTGACTGTTTTTTTTTTTTTTTTTTGGAATAAAAGCTACACACGCGCACACGCAGCACTCTCATCCATTAAGCGGCAAGCACTGCCATTTGAAACAGGATGGGCTGTTTGTTTCCGGTTGCCATGATAACAAAGAGAATGAGATTTTCCCCCTATTTGCGCTTCCTCTGCGGACTGACCAGCTGCTGGACACTTGACATCTTCATCCGACAATTCACTACAGCGATGCGAACACACCCATCTACAACTTCTTTTGCATGACACACAGTTCATATTTTCATCTGTTGCCCAGATGACACTTGCGCCTCTTGTCCCATTCTGTGTCAACTTACTTCGATAGGAACCACAAGAGGCCTGATTTACAATTCAGATTGACGAGAGCATCCGCACGTCATTCGGTTCACGTCCAACAGAGACACACACCGTGTATAAATATAATCGTTTCCCCACTGAGCTACTCAGGGAGTCTTTGCTCGATAGCTTTTGCCCAGACACAGCTGAGTTAATGCTTGCAAGCGGAAGTCCGGACCGACTGTCGTATTCTTCCGACGGATGGTTTAATATGGAATGTTAAATGATGGAAACATGAGTAACAGAGCGTGTAATTACGGCGATCCAAGCGGAAGTGTAATTGACAGGTTGACAGCCCTACATCGAGTGTGGAAATCACCAAAATGAGGAGCTCATTTGCTTGTCGGTTTGAGTTTGACTGACACATGGGAAAATCCTTCTTGAAATGAGGAAATCTCACAGATTCGGACGATCTGCAAAAGGCTGCTTTTGCTTGCGACGCATCAACATTATTTTGTTCCCTTCTTTGTGCGAGTATAACACCCGCTGTCATTTTTCATCATTCACCCTAAGCTCAAAAGATTGGAGTCATCGTCGGAAAAAGGGTGTGTGTCTGTGCGCCAGTCGAGCTGACAAGACACAACACAAAAATGGCAGATATGTTTTGCACGTGAGGATGATGCATTCATTTTTTTTAGTATTCATACAGGAGAATTTTGAGGCAATGCAATCTTTTGAAACAATCAAACTTCTATCATAATTGTATTCTACAATACACTGAGACTGGGGGTGTCCAAAATACAGTGTGGGGGCCATTTGTGGCCCACCATCCATTTTTCAGTGGACTGACTTGACGAAAAAAAAAATTGACTTGGCCCGCAAGGCTAGTTAGAAAAGGTGAAGGTGGGCAGACTGAGGAAGGAGGTTGTACTGTAGAACGTCTTTCACTCCACCCGAAGATACACATAAAAACGCCATTAATCAAAACACTATAGTGAATAAAGATAATTCAATTTTAGAGGCAAACATCGTTTCATCCACTTTGTGCCCTCCGGCTGATTTGTGAAGACGTTGCATTCGTGATCCTCAAGTAACTGAAAAATGGTCACCTTATGAGAGTATTTTGTTTTTGTTTGGTCCTGAATGTGAAGATGTGATTCGGCTGCTGATAAGTGCAGAGTTGGATCTATTCTGTGAGAAATAAGCTGCTGGCCACCCCAAAAACTTGGAAAAATCCTCAATTATTTGCCTTAACGCCTTTAACAGAAAGCTGATGAAATTAACTCAAGAATACAAACAACATATGCAGTAATTGCTTTCTCGACTGACTTTCGCATGTTTCAAAACGACAAATTGTGGCCCTTTCATTCTTCCATTTTTCTGTATGCGGCTCTCAAACGAAAACGTTTGGACACCCCTGCCTTAGACCCTTAGCTATCCCCCCCAAAAAAATAAATAAAATAAAATTGGACTACATTTTTGCAAAAAAAAACCTAGAACACAATCGTTTTTTTTTTCTATTTGAACCCCATAAACTATTTTTAGAGCCACGGGCAAACAACAGCTCTCGCACATTTGTTACTCCGACCGTTGCAGCAGAGCCCGCGGGCCTATGTGGCGAAGCAAGGTGAATAAAGCAACATCAGCAGTAAACAGACGTTTTAAGCACTGTCGCCTAGTTACCCGAGCTGGAAAAATACGTGTAGCGCATTGGGGATACACATATCATCCTCAAAGGAGACCAACGACATGTCCTGGCAGGGTTCACCGTCACGCACACGCCTCTGTTTGGATCAATTAATGGGGACTAAACGTTAGCCGCGCAACACCCGTCTGATATTGCCAGGAAGACATGACTCTGAAATGTATCCGTCACGCAAAGATGTGATCAGAAAAAGAAAATTGCTCCATTTTGGATGGAAGTAGAAAGTTTTACTTTCATTCGGGGCAGTTTGGAGCATCAAACCTTGTTTTCAGGATACAAGTGAACCTTTCAAGTTGGAATTTGACCAAACATTTCAGGAGGAAAGTACGCCTGTAACCAAATCAAACTTGACGGACTGGTGTAAAGCATGATCACGTGAAATGCAAACGCTCAGCGTAACTGAAGAAACCCGAGTTCAGTGAACCTTTGAGGATGAATTATGGACTTGGTATTCATTTTTTCTTTTTTTTCTGCAACACTCGGGGCATGAATGGTTGCAAATGAGCTCTAACAATGTCCCAAAATGAAGCACTTTGATAAGTTTTACAGTAATTGCCTCTTTTTTTTAAAGTCGTGAATTAATCAAGGTGAAGAAAGGATACGTGTGAGCCTCATTGACGACGCGACTCATCTTCAAAATGAATCTTTGTCATTAAAGTGAAGTATGTGATTGTTTTTTTTTTTTTTTTTGCTCGGTGTTAACCACACGCTTATAGGCGATCGAAAAATTGAACTGGTTTAACATTAGCAATCGTTGGCCTCCAGCATTCTCCGAGCAGATCGAGGGAAAAGAAATGACTCATGCAAACATCGAGCGACATAATAATCGGGTCAAGGTCAATCTTAAAGAGACGTGTGACAATTTTGCTTTTTTTTTTTTTTTTAATCTGAAGGCCGGTGAACAGCTCAAAATTGACTTTAGAGAAATATAGGAATATAGTCGCAAGGCACAGGAGGTAAAAGCCCCTCTCAAATGTTGAACAATTAACACTTTCAGGGACAGCGGTTACTCCAGTGGACAGCTAATCATGTTATCAGGTTACAGGGTGCATGAAAGGGTTAAAAAAAAACAGTCAAGTAACTCCCTTCTGCTGACGCTGACCTCATAAGGACAGCCCTGCCTGCTTCTGACGTGAGCGCAGGGGATTACTTCCTTTCCAGTGTGAGGGGCTTTTCATCAAATTCAAAATGATGCGTCTGCCTTGAGTGCGCCCTCCTTGGGAAGTGCCCCTCGCTGCGTGAAATCATGAGGCGGGTGTATTAACCTCAAAAAGTGCGCCGTAAAGATTCGGGCGTGAGTGACGTTTATGCCGAATGACAAGGCGGATGACTAAGCAGAAGTGAAGTTTGCCGTGATGAATGAATTCTTTCTTTGATAAAGGTTGCTTGGAGTGAAAAGGAGACGCTTTTATGAGTGGGTGCGATGCAGTAATTTAACCAAGTGTGTGTGTGTGTGTGTGTGTGTGTGTGTGTGTGTGTGTGTGTGTGTGTGTGTGTGTGTATGCCCACAGTATGTGTGTGGCCTGTTGAACTTGAGAGGGATGTGACAGGAAAAAAAAAGACGTTACAGCTGCAGATATACCGAAAAGCTTCTCTGTCGTAAATAAGGGAAAGGTTTAGCATGAAAATGTCAAATCTATCATTTGGAAATCCATTTCTGATGAAATCAACCTGTCAGATGGACTTAAATGATCGTACTTGGGGTGCTGTTACACACTTGGATCGATAAATTCAAATTGGAGCATCTTCACACAGAAACACATTCATACTGTTTGCAAACGCGAAGCGTGCTGAGGTTCACGAACAAATAGCGTTCTTTTGTCAAGTGGCGATTCTGGATTGGGAGCAATCGGGGCAGTGCCCCACCACATGCTTTTGTTTTTCTTTTTTTTCCCTGTGTTGAGCTTTTAAATTTTTAACACAGAGAAACGGTTTAATCGTGCAATTAATACATTAAATTGTCTCCTAATTCTTATAGTGCTGTTATTTTGGAATACTTAGCTTAGTTTCTGTGTGTGTTCCTTTTTCCGCCTGTTGTCTGGGCAAGGCTCTGTTTCTGTACTGTTGTCACAAAATTTCAAACTACAATTTTCCCTGGAGGATGTAACCGTGACCTCAGCTCTCTGCAGTCATTGACCGTTTTTTTTTTTTTTTTTTTTTCCTTTTTATATGCATATCCTGTGTCAGGTCATCAAGCAATGAGCGGTGAGTGATAATGAGACCAATGAGGCCAGACTTGCCCAGGACACTAATCACGGTCGATGAGTCATAAAACTTCGAGGAAACACCAAAACTTTCACTGAGTCCATCCGGCCTTACCAAGGCCAAAAAAAATCCAAGCCAGCTCAAGTCCAAAGTCAAAGAACTGTTGATGTCATTCTTCTGTGTGCGAAGCATCGCCCACTGTGAGTTCTTGCACATCTACATGGAGATCCTGCGGTGTTTGCTTTGTTCAAGTGGCTGCTTACGTGCCTATTTCATAACGCCCTGAGCATCCCGACATCTTCAGGTGAGCCGGGTTTTGAAAAACATGGACGATAACGAGATGACCATGATGACCAAGCTGCGAGGTTCCTTCCGGGAGTGCAGAAAAGCGTAGCAGACAAGGCTGCAAAACTGTGGATTACTTCAAAGGGGAAAACCTCTACTTTGTAGTTCTGCATTTGAAATGCTTGCATATCTTTTATGACACCAGTCTTGGGAGCACAGCTGATACAACATTCAAATAGCCCAATGACAGGTATGAGATTGGGTTTTTTTCCCCCATCGGCCAACATGTGACGTGACCAGGAGTTGGGATTCAAATACTGATCTGTCAGTATGTGAGTACATTTTAATTCATATACCGGATATAATGGTTTTTGATAACTCAAATATGATCTGAATTGCCATTGCCAGAACAAAAATGATCAGAATTAATCAGAAAGTAATAGTTTTATAATAATACTTTAATTTGGACAGTTGGGGCACACGCTGGACGGTTTGGCAGTAAATTTCAAGGCAAATATAAATAAACGGCCATTGGCACTCACCCGCATCTACAGTCTTCAATTAACCGAACATGCATGATTCTCGAACGTGGAAAGAAGCCAAAGTGTCGTGAGAAAAACATGCAAGCAAGGGGAGAATATGCAAATGCCCCGACTGTGGAGCAGATGTGCTAACTATTTTTCCACCGTGCTGCCTCCTTGAAATATGAATATGAAAACTGTTGCTCGTCTTCACTCTCCGTGCATGAATAAGCCATGCGGTGCAGCGCTGAGGCCATATGGTTTCATTAAAAAAAAAGAAAAAAATATTTTTTTTACCGTAATGTGTCAAATTAAATCATCTCAGGTTGAACCCAAACTGAACCTGATTTTTTTTTTTTTGTTTGTTTGTTCTTGAACACATTTCAGCATCAACCACCTTCATTTTGGTCCGGGTTCAGAAAGCCTTTAATTTTTTTTTTTTTTCATGTCTAAGATGAAACGTCTTCTACATGAAAGTCCAATTCAGTTCGCTCTCTTATTATCAACAAGGGAAGCACACAAGTAGACGACGAGCTTTCGGGGCTCTTCAAAGTTGACACTCACCGTCGTCGGTGTCACCCGTGACGGGACACTTGCTGGACTGTCCAAGCCCCATGGTGACTCCTCAGTCAGTCTCCGCTCTGGCTCCCGTCGCTCAACTTCGCATCCAAAGGCGGGATGCACTCATAGCCTGGTCAGCACGATTCCCCCCCCCCCTCATACACAGTCTACACTTCTCAATCTTAGCACACACGCATGCAACGCTGCATCTTTATGGGAAGCGGGGAGCACTATACTCTCGGTCTTCAGAGTCGTATAAACACATTCACACCCCCTTCGAGAATTGCTGTCCAAGTCTTCAATGATGTCTGGAGGAGTGCAGGTGGAGGGCTCGCGGGCTTGGGAGGAGAGCGGTTGATGTGGTGGTGACTCTCTGGTGACTGTCAAACCTGTGTAGGGAGGAAGGCAAACATGACACTGTCAGTGCATGAGGAGGAGGAGCCATCGGCTGCGCACAAGTGGCAGAGTAAGTGAAGCAAACTGCCATCAAGAATAAGGGCGTCATGCACAAAAACTATCTCAGATTGAGGAGTAGCAATTATGACACAGTTTAAGCAAACTTGTCTCACAAGTGTTAATTCGGAGGAGTACTGGTGTTTTCCTCTTACACAGCCTGCCTAACTGGTTGGTGAAAAATGCGAGTGCTCAAGGTGCAGTCTACAGTACCTATAATTACGTAACCCAGGTCTAACTTTAAGACGACAATAAAACTTGTTGTTTTGCATTTTCATGGCCGTTTTGTGCGTGTACCCTTTTGCACCCGCGTATGACTCTTACATGCTGTAAGTCGAAAGGGAAAATATTGATGAAGAAAGAATCCAAACTGTCCAGCCATACATGTAATTATATCGCGTATGCTGTTCAGGGCCAAGGAGTGAGCTGCAATGCCGTCTAACCTGGGGCGAAAGGCACACTACACCCTGGATTTGTCTCCAATCAATCATTTAGAGACAGACAACCCATTCATTTATTCACACAGGGACTGAATGGGAAGAGGACCCACACTGCTTGCACGGATGTCAAATGAGTACACCGCCATAGAGGATAAGGCACTTACAAATGTCAGCAAACAGATTTTCAGAATATTTGTCGATGCAGGTATGACTCTCTCTCTCTCTCTCTCTCTCTCTCTCTCTCTCTCTCTCTCTCTCTCTCTCTCTCTCTCTCTCTCTCTCTCTCTCTCTCTCTCTCTCTTTCTCTCTCTCTCACTCACACTATCCCTGACACACAGACAGACATGTAAACATCACGCACAAATTTAAAACTTTACCTGCACATGACATAAATGTTTTATGACGCCTCCCCCAAAAAAGTTTTAATTAGAATTGACAATATTTCTGTTATTTCTGATGGGGAGATTTGAAGTCAGAAAATAATCAAAAGTCGAACTGGACCTGGGATGGATTGTGTGTTTGTTCTGAATAGCACCGTCGAAGACAGAAACAAGAGCAGATGAAACAATGTACTTTTCATGAAAAAAAAGCACTTGTGTAACTCTATTTCCAGACATGCGGCGTGAAAAGAGGAGTCTCCTGTCAGAATTACTTCAAAAATGACCCCCTTCTATTCCGCTGTCATTCTTCAACACATCAGTCATCCAGGAGGCTCTTGTTCAGTGCTTCAATCAGGGCAACGCACCAGGAGTACATCTCATTTTTTGTAGAGTCTGTGTCGAGATTATAATTGGAGTTTAACTTTAGACCTGCACAAGTACACAGTTGTCCCCTTTTTTTTTTTTTTTGAAGCTCGATGGTTTTTCAAATTCACATGACTTAGTTGATTCGGGAACATACATGACCCTCTGCGGGACCTGGCACTTACTAATAAGCACTAAGCACAAATAAGCACTAAGCACATTGCAAACTGAGTGAGAAAACCAAACTTCTATTGTGCAGCCCTATTTCTGACAGTGAAGTGAAATGCATGCAATTTGTCAGGTGTCGGTTGATCTCACTGCACACACACCCATAATGTATAATAAATGAACATATCTTTCAACACTGAGCACCAGAGCCATCATTTTTGTCATGCAATGGATGATTCATATTCTAGCTGGGTTAGTGTTCTATGGTGTCCTCTAACAGCAGCTTAGAGAAAGAAAGGCAAGAATAAAGTGACATGCAGGGACATACGTCGGGGTTGTGTGATGGGTGGGGGGGCTAAACATTTTTTACTGCAATGTCACTCACAGGCTGCGTGACAGATGTGACAATATTCTCCCCAAAACTAGTGCGTGGAGCCGCATTGCCGAGCTCCCCGCAGAGGACACCCTTGCACGGATGATGATGACCAAGGGTGAGGCATGCACTGAATAGAAAGTCGCCCCCCACCCCCACCCCCCACACCCACGCGGGACAAGTGCAGAACACGTACCTCTCTGCTCGTGGATCTTCACAACATCTCCCGCTCGGCTTGCAAGTGAGCAACAGTGCTGCTCTGACAGCCTCACTTGTCCCACGCGCACGCGTGCACACGCTACCCGAGACGAGACGTGAAATGCAAAAATGACGAAAAAAAAAATAATGAAATCAGAAAAACGTTGAGCTTTCCGGAGGACGTCTGCTCTGCTTGTTGCAAAAAAAAAAAAAAAAAAAAAAAGGGG